TTCTGGTTCCATACAAATTTTAGGATTATTTGTTCCATTTGTTTGAAAAAAATGGTTGGTATTTTGATGGGGATTGCATTGAATGTGTAGATTGCTCTAGGTAGCATTGATATCTTCACAATGTTTGTTCTTCCAATCCATGAGCATGGAACGCTTTTCCATTTCTTTGTGTCTTCCTCAATTTCTTTTATGAGTATTTTATAGTTTTCTGAGTACAGATCCTTTGCCTCTTTGGTTAAATTGATTCCTAGGTATCTTATGGTTTTGGATGCAATTGTAAATGGGATTGACTCCTTAATTTTTCTCTCTTCTGTCTTGTTGTTGGTGTATAGGAATGCCACTGATTTCTGTGCATTGATTTAAAGAAAAAGAATCTTAAAAGCAACCACAGAGAAACAATGCGTTACTTACAGGGAACACAAATTTGAATGACTGTGCAGTTTTCCTTTGAATCGATGGAAGGCAGAAAGAAGTGGCACATTTTCTTTTTTAAAAGATTTTATTTATTTATTTATTTATTTTAGAGAGAGTGAAGGAGAGATATAGTGCATGAGCAGGGTGGAGGGTGGAGGGGCAGAGGGAGAGAGAGAATCGCAAGCGGACTCCTTGCTAAGCACAGAGCCTGATGAGGGGCTTGATCTTATGACCCTGAGATCATGAGCTGAGCTGAAATTAAGAGTTGGGCACTTAACTGACTGAGCCACCAGGCAGCCCAAGAAGTGGCACATTTTCAAATATTGAAAGAGAAAAACTGTCAACTACAAATTCTATATCCAGCAAAACTGTCTTTTAGGAATAAAGGGGAAATAAAGACATTCTCAGATGAAGGGAAACTGAATGAATTTGTCACTATCAGGCCTATTTTAAAAGAAAGGCTAAAATAAATTCTTGAAATAGAAGAAAAAGCCTTGATACATTAGGAAGGAAGAAGGAACAGTAGCGTGGGAATATGGGTACATAAGTAAGCTCTTCTTTTCCTCATGAATCTTAAAAATAATATTTTATAATCGAAACAAAAATTATAAAACCATCTGATACTCAGGAAGAGCATTAAGATATTTAGAAGTGGGGAGGGGAAAGTTACCTAAATAGGAGTGAGCTTTTTACACTTCATTGAAAGTGATAGAAATTTGGTAAGTCACACATTTATTTATCATGCTTAAAGCAACCATTAAAGTGACTATGAAAAAATGCACTCAAAAGCAGTATAGAAAAATAAAGCTAGAATCCTAAAATATGTTCCAATAAATTAAAGGAACAGAGGAATGATAACCACAGGAAATAAACAGAAAACAGATAATAAGATGGCAGACTTAATTGCTAACATACTGTTTGTCTTACATAGTTTAAAACTTAAACAGTTTAAATATATCAGTCCAATGATAGAGATTGATGGAGTGGATTTAAAAAAAACACAACCCACCTACATGCTCTTTACAAGAAACTCACTTCAAACACAGTGACTTAGGTAGGTTGAAATAAAAAGATGGAAAAAGTTATACCACATAAACAATATCAAAACAAATCAGGAGTGGGTATACTAATATTATGATAAAATAGACTTCAGAGCAGAGAAACTTACTAGAAACAAAGACGGACATTAGATAATGATGAGAGGATCAATCCACCAGGAAGACAAAGATCCTAAATGTATACACACCAAACAGGAGAACCACAAAGTTACATAAAGCAAAAACTGAAAGAGTTGAAAGAAGAAATGGATAAATCCACAGTTACAGTTGGCAGCTCCAGCAACCCCTCTCAGCAACCAGTAGACCTTCTAGACGGAAATTAGCAAGGGTATTGAAGATCTAAACACCACAATCAACTGACAGGACCAAATTGATACATATCAAACCCTTGGACCACCAACAGCAAAACACTTGTATTTCCAGCCCCCACAGAACATTCACCATAAGATCTAGTCTATCTTAGACCAAATGTTGGGCTTTAAAACAAACCTCAACAAATTTAAAGCAATAGAAATCATATGAACATGTGGAAATGAAACAACACACTTTAAAAATAATACATGGATCAAAGAGGAAGTCTCAAAGAAAATAAAAAAATACGGAGAATTGGCCAAAAATGAGAATAAACATAACAAAACATGTGGGATGCATCTAAAGTAGTGCAGATGGGGAGATACATGGCATTAAATGCTTACATAAGAAATTAGGAAAGCCCTAAAATCAACAATCGGGAAGTCTCACCTCAGGAAATTAGGAAAAGAGCAAAATAAACCTAAAGCAGACTGAAGGAATGAAATGATAAAGATCAAAGCATAAACTGATGAAATTGAAAATAGCAAGACAATAGAGAAAAATCAGTGAATCAAAATCTGGTTCTCTCAGACTGCTGGGAGAAAATGGGTAAAGTGTACCCAGGATCTCTGCTTTATTTCTTATGACTGTATGTGAATCTACAATCACCTTCATAAAAACTTCAGTTAAATGTGAATTTGGATGTCCGTGGCAGATCCTATTTTCAGCCCCAGTAGTCCCTATACCTGACTGCTTTGTGTTACTGCTGCTGAATTTGGGATCCAGAGGAACCCTGTTACTAAAATCAAAATGCAAACTTCTTTTATTGAGAGTTTACACTCTACCAAATCGTCGTCTAGAGTAGTCCAACGGTGAAGAAAAGAGACAGAAATCCCTGCTTTGTGGAACTTGCCAGGCAGTGAGTGCAAATGCATGTGTCCCTGGGACAGATGTCTGACTATGGCCAACTGAGGAGATCATCAAGTCCTCTCCCCCCAAAAAGCAACTATAAAATTGCACAAAAACAACAAAAGTAACTATTCTAGCACTCTGGAAAGGCCAAAGGTATATACTAAACTGAGAGGCTTTTATACTTGAAAAACTGCTGAGCTGCTGCTGACAACGGTGGAATTCGGTGGGGTT